AATAAATAAATAAAATCTTAAAAAAAAAAAAAAAAAGAAAGACTTAATTAAGTAAAGGTAGAATTGCTGCCAATGAGGGCTGAACACCTTACACAACTGGTTTTCTGAAGACAGAAGATACCATTGTTAATTTAAAAGTCCTGAATTTTCTATGGCCAATTCCAACATACCAGCTGTCCAGATTCATGTGCAGGATTTGGTCTTCAGTGTTACTAAATCTGTTTTCAAGACTTCTAGCTTTTTGGGGGCTCCTGGGTGGCTCAGTTGGTTAAGCGACTGCCTTCGGCTCAGGTCATGATCCCAGGGTCCTGGAATCCAGCCCCACATCGGGCTCTCTACTCAGCAGGCAGTCTGCTTCTCCCTCTCCCTCTGCTCGTGCTCTCACTTGCTCACACTTTCTCTCAAATAAATAAATAAAATCTTAAAAAAAAAAAAACCCTTCTAGCTTTTCCCTTGAATTCTGTGTGTTGACACAGATCGCCTTTTGTTCATTTTCTTATTTTACTAGCACGTCTAGTATCTGGACCAGAGCTTTCTCCATCAGATATTTCACTGCGGAAATTTCCTCCCACATGCACAACAGGTGGATTTCATCACAGATTCATTCAGCAGCTCTTTTCTGAATGCAGTGCTGGAACAGTGAGGGAGGGAGTTCAAAAGAATTTACAGTCTAAAGTACTGGGGAGAGAAATATATACATTGTACTAGACACAAGAGACTCTTACAAAAACTTACCAAGATAGGGATGGAGAGAGGCAGTGAAGGAGGGATAATACTCCAGTAGAACTTCGAGTAGTCAGGGAGCCTGTGCTTAGCACTGATGGAGAGTTCTCCTAATTCTGAACAATAGGTTCTAATATTTTAGCTTTATGCATTAGAACATAGTTTACATTAGACTACAATTTAGCTTGAAATAGAATTGCAGTATTGGACTCCAGGAATCTTGAAAGGAAAAAAAAAAATGAACTGTTCTAGGAACATACTGGTTTGTCTCTGCTTAAGCATTTGCCTTTCAACAGAACAACCAAACAAACCAAAAAAAAAGAACTGAGGAACCTCTGTGTGGTTTTGAGGAATGCAAAAATAAAGGGGATTTCTTTCTTTCTTTTGACACTGTTTTGCAAGGTATCAGTAGGGGCCCTTTTGTCAAGATAATTTGAAAGTAACTTCAAGTGAATCCGCTTTTAAAAAGGCCCACTGAAACCGCAATTCAGATTGTTTTTGTTCTCAAGAGAGGAGATGATATAGAATGTTTAATGAATCCCAAGTAGACACTTCCTACTACACATACTTGATGAACGATGGGTGGTTTCCTAGCTTTGGTCTTCCATCCGGAGACAGTGCTGTCTTGGGGTGCAAATGACCCTTGTGCTTTTAAATGGAGACGTGCTGTGTGCACATGTAGGAGTGCAGACGTGCCTTGTTTGTGTTGGGGTGCAAGCATGCTGTGTCAGGGTGCACATGCGCTGTGTGTTGGGTGCAAACGTGCTGTGTTGGGGTGCAGATGTGCCTTGTGCACATTAGGAGGCAAGTGTGCTGTTGGGGTGCAAACGTGTTAGGGTGCAAGCGTGCTGTGTTGGGGTGCAGACATGCTGTGTTCGGGTGCAAGTGTGCTGTGTTGGGGTGCAGACGTACTGTTGGGGTGCAGACGTGCTGTTAGGGTGCAGACATGCTGTGTTAGGGTGCAAGCGTGCTGTATTGGTGTGCAGACGTGCTGTAGTGGGGTGCAGATGTGCTGTTGGGTTGCGGCTATGCCGCGTGCGCGTAGGGGCGCAAACGCGCTGTGTTGGGGTGCAGACGTGCTTCCCGAGCAGGCAAGGTACCGGAGGCGGGTGCCCGCACCGTGAACTCGGGCAGTCAGCGGCCTCCCGCTCCCTAGCGGGAGGTGGGACCGGCCCCGATTCGTCAGCGTCAGCACAAACACCTGCACGACGGGATCCCAAGAGCAGAAGGGCCCCCTCCTCCCGGCGCGAAGGAGCGCCTCCCTCTACCGCCTAGGGCGCCCGTGCCGCGCCCCGCCTCGCCCGCGCCGACCTCTTCCTCGCCCCCAGAGCCGCAACGGGTGCCCTGCAGGCCAGAGGGAGGCGCAGGCCCGGCTACCCGACCGCCTCTTTGGGGGTTGGAGGGACCGAGGCCGAGCTTCTTCCGGAATAGGCGGGCACGGCCGGATCCCCTTCCGGGTTGGGCGGGGCCTGGGCGTCCGCCGTTCTGGGTTGGACAGAGCATAGGAAACCCTTTCCGGATTGGGCGGGGCCTTGTCTGGTATTTATCGGGAGTGGGCGGGACCTGGACGCCCTCTTCCGGGTGGGCGGGTCCGGTGCGAGCCCCTCCCGGAGTGGGCGTGGCGAGCCTCCGCGGCGGCCGCGCGCACCCCTGCTCGGTGCCGCTCGCGGGCCGGCCATGCTGCGGAAGCGCGGGGCGGCTGTGGGCCCCCGGCTCCTGCGGGCCGCTCTGGGCCTGGGGTCCCGGCTCGGGCCGGCGCGGGCGGCGTCGGGCGTGCGCGGGCAGGGCTGGTTGCAGCCGGCGGGCCACGACACGGGCGTCAAGGTGTACAACAGCCTCACCCAGAGGAAAGACCCCTTGATCGTGGCCAGCGTGGACGCCGCCTCCTGGTAGCCGCCCAGGATTGGGGGAGCGGGGTGCTGGGGACGTGGGGCGGGAAGGACGGTACACCCAGCGCTGCGCTGAAAGGTTCTCAGGTGGGGAGCATTTAATAAGTACAAAATCCATGGAAGCACAATTGGAGATACTGGTGTAGTCCCGGGTACTTGGCTGGCTTTGGCTACGAATTCCCCAGAAGTGGTTATTTAACAGTTTTTAAAAGAGCATGGTTGTATGATAACCGTAACAGAGAATGTGGTGTCCTTTCTTGCAAACATGTTTCACATGGTGGATTTTAACTTTGTTCCTAGGTATAGCTGTGGACCAACTGTCTATGATCATGCACACCTTGGCCATGCTTGGTGAGTGTTCTGAATTTGATTTTTCACACTTCTAGGGACCGTTTATTTTGGAAAGAAAGAGCCTTTTGCAGGTTTTTCCCATCTCTCAAGGGCAACTTAAGAATACTGAATAGCAAAAAAAAAGAGAATACTGAATAGCTAACTATATTCCAGGTATTGTGGGAGGCACACCTGTTGTCTCATTTGGTTCTCATAGTAAATTCTAAGCACTTCTACCCATTTCACAGGGAGGCAGTGAGGAGCAGTGATAAATGACCTGTTTTGGAATTGGATGCTTCTTGGTGGGTTTTAGTGAGATCAGGTCAGGAGTCAGCAGTGAGAAGTTATTTCTGGCCCCTACTGCTTATTTTCTTTCCAATTTTGGACAAGCCCTTTTATTACTTTGAGTCCTGGTTTCTTCATCGTTGAGATGGGGATGATAATAGTATTCATCTGTCTGAATCTTCACAACTTTATGAAGCACCGCGCATAAAGTGCAGCGTACACAGTACCCGAGGTGCGCTGTGGTGGGGGCTGAGCAGTTTTTGGGGATAAGTAACTTGCCCGAGGCCACACATTCTGGAAGCAGCGGAGCCTGGTGTGTCTGATCTCCCCGGAGCTTGCTTTCTCAACCTCTTAACCCTCCGCTGCACTGCATCCCATCTTTGTCAAAATTACACTTTTCCTGGCGCTTTCTATGTTCTCTTGTTCCTTTTTTAAGCTTGTTATGTTTCAGACTTAGACTAAAAGGGAAAAGCTACCTTAACTCATTACACTTTTTACAAAATCCTGCATCACCCAGGGAGGCTGGAGTGTTTTTTGTGTTTTGTTAAAACAGAATCAGTGGCTAACTTACTATTAATTTTAAAAAGGATCTTTTGACCTCTTTATTGAAGTATAAAATATGTTGGGGAAGGATTGCAAAGACAGAAATCGCAGTCTTTTATAGAGCCAAGTGGATACAATCTGTGAGGGCAGGTGGGGTTGGTTTGCACTGAGCAGTCAGGTGACACGTCAGGCCCATCCCCCTCCTGAGATGGAGCGTTAACTTCCTTGATGGCTTCATTCCAAAGAGATGGCTCCCAGGTCCTTGGAACTTTCCAGAGTTGTGGGACTCAGGAGAGGCTTCCTTAGCCATTAAAACCATTAACGTACATTTTAGAAGGACAGGAATTTCTGAAAGAAGGGGGCCGGGGGTGGGGAGGGTGTTTCCTTATTTTCAGCTAGGAGAATCAAGCCTCTGGTTATAATTTGTATTTGCTGTTACAAATACAGAAGAGAGGGGTGCCTGGGAGGCTCAGTCGTTGGGCATCTGCCTTCCGCTCAGGTCATGATCCCAGCGTCCTGGGATCGAGCCCCGCATCGGGCTCCCTGCTCCGTGGGAAGCCTGCTTCTCCCTCTCCCATTCCCCCTGCTTGTGTTCCCTCTTTCGCTGTGTCTCTCTCTGTCAAATAAATAAAATCTAAAAAAAAAAAAACAGAAAAGAGTACAAATGTTAAGGGTACAGCTGAATGAATGTTCACGGGTCTTAGGCAGAGACACCTTACCATCACCCCAGAAGCCTGAGCATCCCCTTCATCACTGTGGTCCCCCACCCTCTCGAGGATAACCGGTTATCCTCTATGGAAGATGGACTGTGAGATAGAACCCATTCCTCAAGAGTCATTCAGGATGCTCCTGAGTGGTGGGAAACCCGAGAACTTCAAGATTCTGAAGAAGCTGAGCGGTCTTAGGGGCAGGGATGGTCAAGCATGGCTCCCATAGCTCCTAAAGTAAAGGTCCAAATCCTAAGGACGTCTCTGCAGTTCTGGAAGTCTGTCCCGACGTACCGTCCAGGTTCATGTCTCCCCACTCGCCTCCCCAGGTAGCCACACCTCTATTTTAAAAAGGCAGGTACTTGGGGTGCCTGGCTGGTTCAGTCAGTAGAGCACGGGACTCAACCTCAGGGTCATGAGTTCAAGCCCCACCCTGGGCATAGAGCTTACTAAAAAAAAAAAAAAGACACTTAACAGACACAGCACTTTTTCTGTTCTAAATGCTTTACAAACACCAGCCAGTGTGATTCTCCTAAGGACACCGGGTGATGGTGCTGTTCTCCCCCCAGGGGCAGATACAGTGCACAGGGAACCACTCTTGGGGGAGCCGAATGAAGGGCATGGTGATGACCCATGACTGCGGTGACAGAGGCTCATGCCTGTAGGAGTTGGTGCTGTGGGGCATCAGGATCGTGTTCAGCAACCCCGTGGCATAGCAGGATTCTGCCCATTTTATAAATAAGCAGCCTAAGGCTTCAGATGATTAAATATCTCGGTGAGGAGTTTCCGACCTGGCTTGGTCACCGGAGCTGAGTTTGGCGAGGGTAGTGTGGGACGCAGACGGGGTACAATGACAGGGCTCATGTTTGAGTTACAGAGGCCGTGTGGGTGACAGATGAACATGAGATTTGCCAACCCTGAGTTTTAAGGTTGCTTTTATGGGAAACCAGATTCTGGACATTTTAAATGGCTCTTGAGCCCTTTTGGTTTTACACATCTGAGCTGCCCCAGTGTGGCATGCTGATAAGCTGGTGGTTTTTTGTTTTGTTTTGTTTTTTTAAGATTTTATTTATTTGAGAGAGAGAGCGCGCGCATGCACAAATAGGGGGTAGGGGCAGAGAGAGAGGGAGAATCAGACTCCCCACTGAGCAGGGAACCCGATGTGGGACTTGATCCCAGGACCCTGAGATCATGACCTGAGCCAAAGGCAAACACTTAACCAACTGAGCCACCCAGGCGCCCCAACAGAGCGAGTTAATAGAACACAACAGTGCACACATTTCTCGGGAGTAACACCATACAGCTTTAACAGCCTCGTCCTTGGTCTGCTGTTCCTTCTGTTTTGCCATAGTGAAACCGTCCAGTTATTCTAGAACATAAACAAGGACGGTAAAAGCTCTCAGTATTTTAACTACCTGGTGAGATTGTATTACCAGTGAATTGTTCTCCAATTAAATGGTGTAAACTCATGTAACAGCCCCAGCATTAAACATGCTCACCATGTGCCTGACATTGAGGTGTTGCCTTTGCTGATTTCTTGTGGGGCCCCGCGTGGGCCAGTCAGTGGAAGGCTTTCCCTCTTCCTAGCTGTGCGGGACCCATCAGCTCCATCACACACCTAAAGTTTGGGGCAGCCTGTTAAGATGCAAAGCATTCCTTTTTAAAGATCCCACTGGGGACTTTGTGCATTAAAGACGCTCTGACATTTCTTTTCTTGCAGCTCGTATGTTAGATTTGATATCATCCGAAGGATCCTTACCAGGGTTTTTGGATGCAACATCATCATGGTGATGGGAATCACAGATGTGGACGATAAAATAATCCACAGAGCCGCCGAGGTAAGTGCAGAGGGTGATGTTGTCCGTAACTGGATCGATGCTATGCTGTGCTGAGCCCCTAGCTGCTCCGCAGGTGTGTTCTGCATCTCTCCGTCCACATGCCGGTTGGCGAGAGCACTCTGACAGGTCATCAGGGGAGTCTCTGCCCTGGTAAAGGAGGCCTGTTTGATTCTGGGCACCGAAGCCTTTGATGTCCTTGTCCCCTGCTTGAAGTTTGTCCCTTCCTCGGCCCCGCGGCCTCGTGGCCTCCAGGCCTCCCACGCACAGGGAAGGCAAAGGGCCGCTTCTGGGCTAGGGAAACTTAGCTCACGGGAAGTTCAGTTTTCTCATTTGTTTAGTACACAGGGCACTTCTCTTATAACCCATGCATCATTTAGGGGAAGCTTTTTTTTTT